ATGAGGCAGGTTCAAAACAACCAGCAAAGTCAGAAAAATTAATCAAGCCGATAGTTTTTTTGTTTTGTTTTGTTTTGGTTTTGGTTTTGTTTTGTTTGGTTGGGTTTTTTTTTTGTCTTTATGTGATTATCCTTTGTGGGTCACTTTTAATTCTCCTCTTTACCAAGGGGTAGATAATAAGTTGGAATCTTTGTAGTGAGCAGGAGAAAGACAACAGAAAGAAAGGCTCAGCAAAAGCCCCACACTCCGCAGGCTTCCTGGCCCAGGGGCTCAGCAACAACCTCCCCTGTGGAGGGACTTCCAGGTGAGAGAGTGAAAACCCTTTCCGCAAAAATCAGCTAAATCCTGGAGAACCCCAGCCAGCCCTGGTCACCATTCAGGATCACTCTAATTCCTGCCCAGGCTGATCCAACATCCCCAGATCAGAGTGGGAGGATCCCAGGTAGGAAGAGGTCGGGCTTACATAAGGAAAATCCACTCCTTCAGGGAGGGACATTGTTTTGTTTTGAGTTTTGCTTGGTAACAGTGAAGACTCAGAAGAATAAAGATTGCTTACAGGACACTGACATTAAAAAAAATGTTGAATGGGAGAGCCCTTGATTGATGGGCAGCACCCTTTGGAAGAGGCATGACGCACCCTCCTTTGGCCCTCCAGATCCTGTTATTAAGCACACTAGTGGCCCTTATGGAAAAGCTGGCGTGTTTGTGCATGGGTGTGGTAGGAGGAACCTAAACTGCACCCATGAAGCTCTTAGGTGAGAAGAGAAAATGTTCACCGAGGTGGCCAGGGTTGTTTCTAAGGGATGACACTTCTTTTAAAAAACTACATCCTCTCAATGCTAGCCCCAAATGAGTCCTGATAGAAACCTAATCCACTTACCTAAGCCAGCATCTGGAGAAGGTGCAAGAATGTGTGCATACGTGCATGCGTGCGTGCCTGCTTGCGTGCGTGGGTGCTTGCCTGTGTGTGTGTGTGTGTAAATAAGGGCGCGCATGTAAATAAGGACTAGTAAAGGGAATGATGGGATGTCAGAATCTCACTACACAATGGAAAAAAGGGTGTTTACTAGCGAAAGAAAAAAAAGGAACAAATTTAAAATGCTCTTCACACACAGTTTGGGGGGAAAATGTCCACTGATTATACAGTGCCCCAACATTTTGAACTACTCACAATAAAGGGGAGTCCTGTGTGGATGGGGGTTCAAGACTGCAGAGTTCCTCTAAGGAGAAAAGGAGTCCTGAGACAGGGGGAGGTGGAACAAACATTACTTTCCCAGTGTTAAATGTATAAGGAAAATCTGCAGAACTTTCAAACTACAGTCTACATAGAGGTGTCGTCTGAGACCTGAAAAACAACTGTGAGGCAGGTTTGGAGGTGGCTGCAGCAGGACCATTGATCCTCTTTAGACCTTGGCAGCTTCCATTCGATTCCACTCAGCACCCAGGGTCCTAAGCGCCAGGGTCGCCAGGGTCGCACATTGGAGCTCCCTGGAGGCCCACAGACTTGACAGTGGATTTGGAGCTACGCAGCACAGTGGGAGACTCTGGTGTTGGGTTCCCAAAGCTCTTTGTCGGGCCCCAGTCACTGTCATCACACCCTCTGGCTCGGCTACTGACAGAGGCCATGTGCAACTGCCATAAATATATATGAAAGCGTCTCTCCAGGGCGTTGGTTTCTTCTGTTCTTGGAACGCTTTTTGGCAAATCCCCTGCGTTTTCCCGGTGGCTCCAGAATTCGAAATACGTTTTCCCCTTTATTTCAGACAGGATTCTAAGTGTGAAGTAGATGATGCAATTCACACCACCCACCAACGCTACTTCCTGGCCCAGCTCCCCTCGTTGGCAGCCTTAGAGGCAAAACTCGCCCCAGCAAAGAGACAGGAATCCCTCTCTGAGTTCTAACCGCCCAGGCAAGTGTTGTGGAGAATATGCTTGGACCAAAATGGAAAATGCTGCATCGACTATCTCTAGCAGGTCCCCTAGAGAGTGCTGGGTCCTGGAGTGCCAGGACCCTCTGGGCAGCGCAACCAAGTTCAAGGAACCGCCCCTTCACGGTTTGAGACTTCATCGTGAGTGCCCGGGGCAGGAAGAGGGCGTGAGGCAGAGCCAATGAGGATGGGGGGAGGGCAGCGAGGGAAAGAAGAGTCTGCCAACTCAGGACCCCAGGCTTTGATTTTAAGCGGCAGTGAACCGGGGTAGCTTGGCACTCCACCCCCTGCCTAGGGCTCAGCTTGATCCTGGAGCTAGTTAGGGCGTTAAACGGGTACGCGGGTGGGGCAATTCATTAGGCCAGAAATGGATTAGTTGTTTATTATCTATAAACATTCCAACCACAGCAACGGATCATAAAATCGCGGAAGGGCCTGTGAAGAAAAGGAACGAGGAAGCCTCCATGTGGGCCGAGCGGACTTAGTGATTGTTCCCGTGCGATAAAGGGTCCATTAGAGAGAGGGAGAGGCAGAGAACGGGAAATGATTTCCTAGGCCGGGAGTCACGATTTCTCTAAGCTGCATGCGGGTACACACAACGTGGAGGATGAGAGAACGGACAAAAGACTGAAAGGCCGCGGTGGGGCCGTTAGCAAGGCTGGAGCAATAAAACGCTGTGGATTATATGAGGAGAGCAATTTAGTCTTCAGGTTCTTGGCGAAATCTTTAGAAACCATGAAAGCAGCCCAATAAGATTTTATGGAGGAGAAGAAGTTAAAAACCAACATCTTTCTGATGGCAGACACGCTGCGGAGACTGACTTTTTAGAGTTTTCGTTCAGATAGAAAGTTTTTAAGAGGAGTTAATCTCAAACAATTATACTTTTTAAAATATAAAAGTAATATATATACATACATACATATATACAACAAATAGCCTTTTTTTTGTTTAGTCAGTTATCTCTGGGAACAAGTTTTAAACTCTCCTTGCAAAGCTAACATTTTACTATGTCAGAAACAGTGAAGACTTTATTTCTATTGGTCCCTAAGCCGCTAATTGAGAATACTTTCAGTCGAATTCAGAACCTCTTAGAAATTATTGGTAACTTTGTTAGTGCAATTTAAGTAATGTATTGTTTTTAAATGTTTAGGAATAGCAGTTTTATAAGATAGTGTTACATAACAGGGCGGTCTTGGTTCTCAACTTTTCAAAACTTTTTAAACAGAAGATGCCATAAGGGGACATGCTTCATAGGTGAAAAGATGATAAATCATAAAACATAATAGCCCACATAGAGCAGCTCAGAAATCAGGATAAAGGGGTTGCCAGCATCCCCAGAAAGTCCTCCTCCTGCAACAGATTAAAAAAAAATAATAACTTTTAAATCTGTTAGTAATAATCATACTCGGGGAGATGTTGTTATCAAAATAATCACTCCAGTTCTTGAATTCCTTTGGGAATACTAATATTAGTACCCACAGTCTTCTTGAAAATAAAATCAAAACTGCTTTGGGTGTTGCTAAGAGGGAACAAAAAGCAGCCTCCACATTGGTAACCCAGCCCCCACCGTCCCTTATTCCACACTGAGAGACATAACAAACAAACCATTACATGTTGAAAAACACATCTGAAAACAGAAAGGTCAGGTTGCTGCCAGTCCTGGGGAACATTAGCTGGTGTTTGGAAAATAGTTGACAGTTGAAGGTTAAGGTTTCTCTCTCCTTTCTGCTCAGAATGGAAGGGAAGAAGGGAGCGGGGAAGACGTGGGGGAGGGAAGGAGAGAAAGAAAAGGAGTAGAATGGGATAAGGTTGGTGGGGGGAGAGAACTTACGAGGTACAGTCTTGCAAAAATAAATTGTCTGAAGGCTACACACTTTCTACTCTGATTCACACACACGTATACACACATTCACACAGACGTGCAAACACACACAAGTACAGGCACTAAAATAATATGAAATGACTGGAATTTGCTCCAAAGATGAAGAGGGGCGGGATTTTTGTTTGCTGACATAAAACAATTAAAAAATAATCACAGTAACATCAAACTCTGACTTCCTCAAGGGGAAGATTGTTGGACCAAGGTGAGTTTCATTGTCAGGAGCTTCAGAGAAGGTGAAAATCGAGTCCTTAACGTTGCTAATCGGCCGCAGTTGGGTGAAGTAACCCACCACGCAGTATCTGTTGGCCTCTGAGAGCCCTCTTGTCTGACTTTGTGAGGCAGACGTTCCGGGAGCCGACAGTGGAGATTATCATATTGAAATTTGTATTGGAAAATGGCACTGACAGTAAGAACTGAATCCTTTATGTCCTGTTCGGGTCTTGATGTCTCCAAAACATAAGGCATTTCCCAGGCAGGACGGTGGAAGGGACCAGGGAGGGAGAGATGGCTAGAAGATATTTGGGATTAGACACAACTTTGTGTAACCTCGAGCGTATCATTACAACCTGGAGGGGGTCAGCTTTCCCGAGATACCTAACTGTGTCAGTTAACAAACTCCCGCATTCTTTGATTGTAGGACAATGATCAAGTGTCGCTAGCAGACATAACAGGTGACCTGAGCCCCACCCTTTGCTTCTCTGTTAAAGGTGTATACACCGGTCTGTGGAAATAGCCCTGGTAGAGATTCGGAGTTGGGAAGCTTCGCTCCAGGTAACCCCCCGCAGTTAACCGGCTCATGGGGTGGCTCTGACTACCTTCGGACGCTGAATCCACCATCAGCGCTGATGGTGACTCTTGCGCGTGTGACACACCTGGGCTACACATCTGGTTTGTCGGACCGTGGCGAACAGCGCTGGACTTAACTCTCAGACCAGAGCACCGGTCTGCCCCGGTCCTGCGCTCTGCAGCCCCAGGCCCCAGGGATCTCGGTATTTCTCCTCCTCCGTTGAACCCCCCGCCGCCCAGGTCCTTTGTAACCATGCCCACTTCCACCAGGCCCGCAGGCTCCCTGGGGCATTCGCAGGAGTCTAGTGCGCAACGCGGCGTTTGCAGGCAGGGACAGAGCTCCTGGGCAAATAGCTTGAAGTAAAAATGACCCACCCTGGTTTTGAACAGGAGTAGCTTCCGCGGTGGGAGAGGGAAGAGTCCTTTGTCTAGGGGGAGAGTTATTCCTAAGCATTTGATTTAAGGTGCAATCTCCTGCGGAACTCGGACAGTGGCTGTAGCATCCATAGTACCTGTAAAAAGCAAGAAGCCAAACCGCGCCCTCAAGGACGAAGGAATACTAATTCCGTTCAGCAGCACACGGCTTTGTTTGTTAAGGCAGTCAGCTGTGAAGCGCGTTCCTCCCACCATCCCCAAAGGCTCCCGGTAACACTCCAGTTCTGCGGCTTTCCGCCACCCAGCCTCTGGTAGAGTGGGTGGAAACTAACTTGATGTTTTTAGGTGCTTTCAGGTCCGTCTCTCAATGCATCATTTTAAAAATTAACTGGTTTTGTTGCTTTGTTTTCTATTATCAAACAAAACTGCAAGCTGAGACCGATTGCAAACATTTAAAGAGGCCTGTGTCAGTATTTGGGGCAGGTTTTCCTTGGAGTCAGAGCGGCATGTCTGCCCTCATTACAAGTCACAAAGCTTCCTCCGTGTCGTGAATATTCCTTCCCTAGTCCGAACTGCTGGCCTGAACTGCAGGCCTTGAGAGCTAATGCAGATTTGCTGGTCCTGAGATGCAGGCGAAAGGCAATAGACCCTGAGTACCAAGGCTCTGTAAAGCGTCTGAGATAAAGACGGATGGGGGCAGGGGCGGCATTTAGGGCAGAGATAAGGTCCTGGAATCTCACAGGAATTTAGCCTGGCTTCAATGCTTCAGCAGGCAGTCTTGTTTTAATATCACCTCAGACCTCACCTTGAAGATGGAGAGGTCCCAAGAGGGAGGTGGATAAGACACTTCACGCCCCACCGCCAGCGTTAGCTTAAACATAGATGCTAAAGAGGAAATACATCAGAGGCCTGAGCAAGAAAAGTTAGAGGGATGCCCTTCTTCCTCGTAAATAATAATCCGAGTGTGTCTGGGTCATTCTCATTGTTCAGGATTTCTGGCACTGTGCTGTTAATTTAAAAGGGAAAACAATGAAAGTAAACACACATGCCACTTTAAATAATCATAGCCAAAGGCTCAAAAGTTTTTATTATGTTGGTTACAATTAAGAAACTGTATTTAATAATTAGTTCTCTTAGTCACTTTTGGCTATTCAATTTCACATTATTGAAAAAAAAGATCTCAAATGATAAAGAGTATCTGACTTTTGAACACGCTCTAATTTTGAAACAAAACGTTTTGAACCCCCTGATGTATGCACAAAACAGTACACAAATAAAATTATACTTCAGAAATTCACAGAATTCATTTCCTAATATAAAGACTCACTCTGGTCTAACCAGGAAGGAATAGATAACTCTGTGCTAAACAACATTTCATTTGTCATTCTGAAGTATGAATGGATACTCATTTGCAGATATCATTAAACATTTCAAAAACTGACCATAACCTTCCTGGTAAATTATAAATACATTCCACATTTTGTCATAGAAAACTGTCACACATATTGTATGTCATGCACCATAATTAATTTACAAAATTTCCACTTTATAACAAAATGGGAACAAGTAATATTACTAGTCTTTATTTTTTTCCTGCAAACGCCACCAATAAGAGACTTCTTGTGTGTTTAATAAGCAGCAAATACTGAAACTTAAAATGTAAAGATATTAGCTGTTTGAAAAATCTTTCTGAAGCTTTAGAAATTTTATTTGTTGGATTGTCATTTGCTTACTTATATAATCTTTGTGTATGAATATTTGGATGATTCTTAACATTTTGCCACACAAGCCATGCATATTAAGCAAGAAAAATTAATTTTGACTTTTTTATCTAGTTTTAACTTGGCATATATTGCCACTGTGACATGCGTGAATGAACCAGCCTTTAGCCCCTGTGATGAAACAAATATAAGCATTAATACACTGTTGAGGTAGAACAGCAGGACTTGAACTATGATGCTTTGAAAACTAGTCATAGAAAGTTTTGGTCAGACTACCCATATAATGTGTGCTCCTTTATAGTGAATATTAGTAGTGGAGGTAGGAGTTGGTGCTAGCATTGTTCCTATCCAAGAAACCTTTTGAATGACAGTGTGGAGAGTGAAGACATCCCCCACACACACCAGCCTTATGAAAAGGAAGCAATGTTTTAATCTCTTACCTGAAAGAGTCTTGTCACTGTGAGAGAGACTGAGTCTTGTCACTGTTCTGTGTTGCCTATTACAGTCAGTCCTGGTTCCTGTGCTGTATTGCGTTTGTGAAGGCTGAAATAACCATGTATGACTATAGCCTCCAGGGATCTTTTATGAAAATGAGATCTGAGGCTGGTTCAAATAAACACTGTGGACCTTGACCTGGCAATCCAGTTTAGAAAAGAAATTGCCTCGCATAAGCTATTTTGTATGTACGTATTAATTTTATATTCAGTCACAAAGACATATGTATGGAAGCAGAATACTTACGGAAATGTTACGTGAACTTCCTTTTATTTTAGAGTAGCAAACATTGATTCTGAATGCAATCGCAGGTAACTTCTATCTTCAAATATCCTCCAAAATTGTATTTTTCTTGACAACACATTTTAGGCCCAGAGTGCTCGTAATCTTAACACCTGGAAGGCTGAGGCAGGGAAATTGAAAACTTAAGATCAGCTTTAGAGTCATACCTGAAACTCATACTCCTGCGAGTTCTCCCTCCCTCCCTCTGTCTCTCAAATTGAATCCAGGGTTTTATACATGCTGGACAAGTACATTTTCACTAGGTGACACCCCAATTCTACTCCCCACCTTCAAAGCCATAATCTTTTGTTTTTCTTCCAAGTTTAAACCATTTTTTGACTTCTTCATAACCGGCACTGCTCGCATTTATAGCTTGGCTCTACATGCCTGGTTACATTTTCTATTGACTTTACCAAAATAAAGTCTGCCTCTCACTGAGAATTTAATTTTTGTTTTTGTTTTTTACGAGACAGGGTTTCTCTGTATTGTTTTGGAGGCTATCGGTCCAGCCCAGCCTCGAACTCACAGAGATCCGCCTGCCTCTGCCTCCCGAGTGCTGGGAGAGAATTTAATATTTATTTGAAATTTCGCTTGCATTTGTTCAAGACCATGAGCTCTGCGAAGGGTATTAGTTATCTGAATCACAAATGAGTTTGCTATGAAGACTATAAGCGCTGGAGAGGTGGCACAATGGTTAGAGGCTTGCTGCTCTTAGAGGATCCCACCCTTGTCACTCATCAGCATTCCTCAGTGCCTGGCAAAGGCCTGCAACTCCAGCTCCTAGGGAATCTAATACAGCCCTCTTCTGGCTTCCACAGGTACTGCACCCATGCAAACATAATTTTGAGAAAAAAAGAGCACACACATTTTTTTTTTTAGCTAATGAAAATGAGGTTTGCATCTTAACAATATATTACTATGATATGGCATTTACAATCTAATTGTAAGTTGACTTGAAAGCAAGACGAGTAAGCTCTTTCAGGGTGTGGTTGACACCTGATGTCATATCCCATGGGTTTTGCTGACTCCAGAATGGACATTCTTCCTTAATAGAACTTTGAGATAGATTACTCAGTAATTTTTCAGTCTAAATGTATTAGACTTTAAAATGTAATCATACGATTTCTTTTTAAAAGATCACATTTAAAATAAAGCCTAAGAAATAAAGAAATGTGTCGAGAATAACTCTATTTAAAAGTATGATGATGATTTAGCTTGTTTGGTTCTTGCTTTGAGACAGAGTTTCTCTGTGTAGCTAGGCTTTTCCAGAACTCACTAAGTCTGTTGTTGAGACTGGCCTCTAACCTGTGAACCTCCTGCCTCAGCATGAGTTTCCTGAATCCTGGGATTATATGCATACACCATCATTTTGATTTTCTATTTTTTTTTCTGTTTTGGTTTTACGGGACAGGGTTTCTCTGTATTATTTTGGAGGCTGTCGGTCCAGCCCGGCCTCGAACTCACAGAGATCCGCCTGCCTCTGCCTCCCGAGTGCTGGGATTAAAGGCGTACGCCATCACCGCCCGGCTTCGTTTTGATTTTCTATGCTTTCATAAAGATAAAAAGAATAAAAACACGTTATTTCATATGTAAATAGTTTCCTTTTAAAAAGAAGGTTAAAGCTAATATGGGGTTTATATCTGTAATCCCAGAACTGGAAGTTTAAGTTACCTACATAATCTGTATATATGGAGACATGAGGACACTTCCATTTCCTAATAAGGTATATCCCATAAACACTAATATGCCAATATAGACCTCACCATTTACTTTCAAAACAATTCATAAATCCCCTCTCAGTTTTATGAAACACATTTTTGTTGACATATCTTTGAGACTGTAATTTCAACTACACTGCCCATTAGAACAATCTTTAAATGAAGTATACCTCCAGTCACCATCCTGCATGCTAATAGTTTGTCATTCTGGGAGCAACAATGAACAAAACAAACAAAAAACCTGCAGTAGGTAGAATTAGGGCAACCTTTACAACATCAAGGAAATGAATCCTTTTGGGGAAGAAAATCTGCAGTCCTTGAAATAGCCACGAGAGGGCAGAGTGCGAGATACTGATAGCGTTCTGCAGAGCAAAATTTGGTGCAAAGAGTCGCTTCAGTAAAGCTGTCTAGCGTCTTTTGTTGCAAGTGTCTCTTCTTTAGCAATAGGGTTAAGAACTAACAACCACAGCACAGCAAGTTCTCAATTTTCCAAAGAATTCTTTGCTAGGCACTGGTCTGTTCAGGAGGACGCAAGTCACCGGCCTCTATTCACAGGCCCGCCTGCAAGTGCCCTAAATAATTCATCTCTTTTCTCCCTCACATTGCTTTGTACTCCAGATGTACAGAATACAGCAAGAGTCTGATCATCTGAATTCACACAGAGCCAACCAAGCCTTGGCTCAATTTTATTCACATTTACATAAATATACATAAGAATTCTTGGGTCTGTTAATCTTGGAGGTTAGTCTCCAAACTAAGCTTTTGGAATAATATCCATGGGGATGAGTACTAAACACAGGCACCCATAGAAACACACTTATGATCAGGTACATATCAGCTAGGCCTCAAGCCTCTGCAATGCAGAATTAAATTGCTTCATCGAATCAGACTTCTTTGGAACAGAACTGAGATATTTTTCCCAAATGAAATTACATCCATCATAGAGGTTAGAAATGAAAGAAGAAAATCACTTCGTCTTCTGTGATAGCTTGTACAAGATGATGCAGAAATATTTACAATCATTTAAACGCAGAATCTGGGGTTCCCTCTGTACTGACCATGTGAGGGCCAAGTTCTTGTTTTTAGATAAGTGTTCTTTAAATCTAAAGGGAGGATGTTAAAGATGAGTAACACTGCTGTGTTTGAAGACATTATATCCAGGTGACTTTTCTAAGGACATAAGTGGATTTTATCTTTTGGCTTTGTGCTGGAGACCAAACTCAGGGCCTCACACATCTCGGACGTGCTGGACAAGCACCCTCTCATTGGGTTACATTTTATCTCCCTCTCCTCCTCTTGCTCCCCCTCCTCCTTCCTCCCTAGAATCTTGCTACTTAACCCAAGTCAAGCCTTACACTTCCTGTCTCCCTGCTTCAACTCAGGCAATCTGTAATTCTAACATCATCATATAAGCCAGCTGTAGCTATTATAATTAGCTATTTGAGTTATCTTTTTGCAGAACTTCCATCCATATAATCTTAGGAAATGTGGCAACCACTGAAATATAATCCACGCAAATATTTTTCTGAACAAAGAATTGAAATTGTACCACGTGCCTTTTTAAGCATAGAATCTCTTTCATTTCTGTGCATACATTTTATTTCTTAGTCTCAGGAGAGCCACTGCCATTGACATTACAATAAATCACAATTTTCCAACTCTAACCCTGAGATGTGCATTTACTTATGAGAAAATAATAGTCTCCATCTTCAGAAAGTCTTTGTCCTTTATAGAAAAAAAATTACAGGTGTCTTCAGAAAATCTCGTAAGTGCTAAATGAGTTATAAAATAAAAGCTATTAGCCAAATAAGTAGAATGGAAGAATAATCTTGGCTACCATTCCTAGAGCCTTCATCCAGTAACTGATGGAAGCAGAAGCAGGCACCCACAGCTAAACACTGACCCATATTCCTGAAATCCAGTTGTGGGGAGGGAGGAATGATGAGCAAAGAAGCCAAGACAGTGCTGGAGAAACCTGCAGAAGCAGTTGATCTGACCTAATGAGAGCACAGAGAACCTGGTTGTAAAGCTGGGGAACCAGCATTGGACTGAACCAAATCTCTGAATGTGGATGCCAGCCAGGAGGCCAAGTCAGTCTATGGGACCTCTAACAGTGGAGCCAGTGTTTATCCCTAGAGCACAAATGGACTTTGGGAGCCCATTTCCTATGGAGGGATACTACTGCAGCCCAGATACATGAAAGAGGGCCTGGGCCCTCCCCCAAGTGATGTGACAGACTTTGATGGTCCCCTGTGGAGGAACTCACTATCCTTGAGGAGTGGGGGTGGGTGGGTTGGGGGTATCAGTGGGGGGCATGGGAAGATGGTTGGGCCAGGGAATGGGGGGGATTGATATGTAAAATAAGATTGTAGTTGTGCATGCCTTTAATCCCAGCACTGAGGAGAAGGCAGAGGCAGGCTGATCACTGTGAGTTCAAGACCAGCCTGGTCTACAAGAGCGAGTTCCAGTACAGCCTCCAAAGCCACAGAGAAACCCTGTCTCAGAAAAAAAAAGAAAAGATTGTTTCTAAAGGAAAAAAAAAAGAATAACCATGTAATCTACAATTCTTATTTCAACATCATTGTAAATTAAGTACGAGATTTCTGAAACCCATATAGCAATTGACATTTTGTTTTCTACTGGGAACTACTAACAAGACACATTTCCAAAAAGTGAGTTTCTGTCTCAAGCCAGGGCTGAGCTATGAGGCGTGCATGATACAAATGGTCCCAGCCTCACAGGGCGATTTTGCCTTTTTTTTTTTTTCTAAATCATGGATTCCAACTGAAAAACAATTTAAAGATGTTTTTGATTGAAAACAAATTTTGAACCCTGCGTGCATTGCACCCAACATGCCTCCACCTCAAAGTGTTTAAACTTTTATTCTTGCATTTATCACATTGTCTTACCATCATGAGTATCACGGCCACACATCCTTAGTTTATGCCTGTTATGCCGAGGTACCATCTGGTTTAGCATTTTAGCACTTTCAAATGTGTCCTGGCTTAGACAATAAACCCCACAGTCCCCCAGTTACAAGGCAGATGCCTGGCGCAGAGGCTTAAGCTCACCGCGGTGGTCTTAGGTTGATTGGGGGGTCTGTGTGACAAATCACTGATGTTAGGTACCTAGAGATGTCTGGCTGGTTTGAATACGGAGAAACGTAGGCGAAAGCTCAGAGACAGAAAGAGTCGGTGGAGATTATGTCTAGAAGTAAGTAGTCAAGGACTGTGACAAGTTCATATTAAGACGCTTCCTCTTCCATCTCTAAGAACAGAACATATTCAAGACAGTGAGTGCTAGAGATAACAGCACCTTTTTATTTATTTATTTACTGACTTATTTATTTTTTATGGCATTGGTGCCTTGCCTGCGTGTCTGTGCGTAGGTGTCAGATCCCCTGGAACTGGAATTACAGACAGCTGGGAGCTGCCATGTGGGTGCTGAACCCCAGTCCTCTGGAAGAACAGCCAATTCTCTTAAGCACGAGCCATCTCTCCAGGCCTGTACCTGCTATGGTAAAAGCTGGTCTCTGAAGCCCAGGCTGGCCTCAAGCTCCCTGTCTCCCTTGCCTCAGTCTCCGGGGTGCTGAGGCACCAGTCTGGCTTCTTTATGTTTGACTGTAAGTGTTAGGCGGCGGCATCCTGGTGAAGAAATCCAGAGTAAGGAAACACACTAGGAGATGGCATGCAACTCTGGAGAATTTCCACGGTCTGAGATGGCCAGGGCTGAGGTTGAGGCTGAACTTGAGTGGAATTGTGTTTGCACATGTCATAGTCATCAGGGTGAGATTTAATTTGGGCTAGTATGATTGGTTTTGAGTATTTGGAGTATAAAATCAGCTATAATATGTTAACTAAAAACAGATATTCTTACCTATTGTTTTCAGACAGGATTCCACGTAACTCAGGCTGGCCTTGAACTCAACATACAGTTGACTATCCTGTAGTCAAGTGCCGAATGGGCTACAGGCATGTGCTATCCTACTTGCCTATTTTGTTTTTCTTTTTAAGTTTTAGAATTTATTTGGGGGCTGGGTGTGTAGATTTGCCCATGATAAGCACATAACCTTCCATGATATTTCACTGACCTCTGTCCTATCTTGTTTTCTGAGGTGATTGCTTGGTGTAGCTTCTTTTTTGTTTGTTTGCTGAGAACAGAACCTCCTGTAGTCAAACCTGGCCTAGAACTCACTTTGCAGCTGTAGATAGCCTTGAATTTCTGATGTTCCTGATTTGCCTTCCAGGTAGTGAGGTCCAGTCATAAAAACTGTGCCTAATAGAACAGTCACACATGGGGTTTCTATGCATACCAATCACCTCAATCATTTGTTTGGGCAAAAAATGTTTCTTCTAGCTTCCTGAAATATGAACTGATAAAAAAAATATTGGTACTGGAACGCCTCATGTGTTGGTGAGGACAAAATAAAACATTCCTGAATGCAGTGACTTGAAAATGAGTTTTAAATGTATTTTGTGACAGATTTTTTTAATTCACTTACTTGACAATTTAGCAGGTAAATATGCATATGAGAATGTATGCATGCTTGTAAGCACTGATGCGCCACCGTGCACACGTGGAAATCAGAGGGCAAACATCGGGAGTCTTTCCTGCCCTCCACCTTGTTGAGGGGAGGTGTTTCTTTGGTATTTTCCCCACTCTGTGCACTTGTGACCAGCAGACCTGAAAGCTTCCCGCTGATTCTCCTCCTGCTCCTGACCCCTACCTTGCTGAAGTAACGCTGAGGTTACAGTCATACTACAGTATCTGGCTTTTCCCGTGGCTTGTGGTGGCAGACAATGAGTCATAAGGCTTATGCAGCTAGATCTTTACCTAAGCCCAGCCCCGAGATGCTTAATTAATACAGAGTGGTCAAGACATGTGAATAAAGTACTTTGATATTTCAGGATATTTGGTTTGAGAACGTTTGTCAAAATCAGTTTAGCTCATTCAGTGAGTCCTTATTTAGACCCGAATATGTCCCATGTACTATGCTAAATATGTTTGATGATATCAGTCTATGTTTCAAATTCCATGGTTTCTCCAACTGGCCTGTGACAAGTATTCCCTCAACTTTTTTTCATTACCTTTATCTCCCACTTGAATACCGTATTACTGAGGAAATTTGAACGAGAAATGTCTCCCACAGCCCCGGTTATTTAAACACCTGGTTCCCAGTTAGTGGCCCGACTGCTGGAGGTGTAGGGGGTCTGGTCTTGCAGGAGGAAGTACATCGCTGGAGGAAAGCTTAGAGACGTAAAAGTCTCCACGACTTCAGTTTTCCTCGCTCCGCTTCTGCCGGTGGTATAACATGTGCGCTCCCAGCTTTCTCTTCCTGCCGACGTCACACTTGCTGCTTGCTGCGATGTCTGCTCTCTCACACCATAGAAACGCACGCCTCTGGAACCGCAAGCCGAAGGAACCCTCCCTTCTATGAGTTGTCTTAGTCATGGTGTTTTGTCACAAGGACAGTAAAGGAAGTAATGCAGTGTTAGCCTGGCTCTGATCACCCTCGCGAAACCGTCCTCTTTGTTCTTTAACCAACTGAAAGCCAATGTGTCATCTTTTGTGCTAGTACCCTTCTGCCCTTATTATTAGCTTCTCCTCAACCCGAGAAAGCGTGGCTTCTATTCCCTGTTCAACTTCTGATGACCGCACTCTCAGCCTACACAGAGTAGGCGTTTTCACTGTGGTGTTTGTGTCCAACCGCCAGCAATAGATGGTTTACTTCAAAAGTGCCTCTCGAATCCTTCACTGTCTATTCTTCTCCGTTGACACTGCTAAAGTTAATACTCCAATAGTATTTCACTTGCATAAATAAAAGCATGTAACTATAAATCTGCATCGATTTCCTTAGGATATGTTTTATTGCATTTCTGCTTTATACTTTGTATTGGCATTAGGAAGGATGAAAGCAGATCAGGAACGACACATTTTGCTTTAACAAACTCCAAAAACAAAGTGCTGAAGCTCTTTTTTAAGTGCTCTGCCCCCATATTGTTCAGCCACTTAATGAAGGTGTTGTTACTTATATCTTACTCTCTAACTTCAAAGGATTACAAGATTCCGACACACTTTGGTTTCCATGCTTTGGTTTGAGGGCACCTGTCAATCACATGTCTGCCAATAAGGAAATACTAAAGTAACGCAGTTGCTCCTGTTATTCCTGTGGTTACTAACATACACAAGTACTTGAGGACCTCTAAAGTACTGTGGTAGTTTGTAACTGCCCGCCTCCCATAAGCCCATAGGGAGCGGCACTATTAGGAGGTGCGGTTTTGTTGGAGTAGGTATGGCCTTGTTAGAGGAATGTGTCACTGTGCGGTGGGCATTGAGGTTTCCTATACTCAGGATAGCGACCAGTGTCTCACTTGACTTCCTGTTGTCTGCCTGCACGCTACCATGCTTCCAATCATGATGATAATGGACTGAACTTCTGAATTGTAAGCTAGCGTGTTGTAGCCCTGTAATCTCGAACACTAACTTGCTACAGCCCCCAACTAAGCATTTTCCTTTACAAGAGTTGCGTTGGTCATGGTGCCTCTTCACCGCAATAGAAACCCTAACTAGGACAAGTACCTCAAGCTACCAGTGTGGCTTGTGGGCCCTATAATAGTCATGCGATCCTCCAAAATCCACAGCAGCTCTGTGTCCTGCTCCATTATGCGCACCTGTGTGAGCCGTGATCGAACTGAGCGTGTCCGTGCTTGCCTTCCTCCACCAACACCCCTGAACCTTTGATAACAAAGGGATACTTTTCTTCCTCTGTGTTTTCTGTGAACCCTATAAAGTCCTTCCTGGAGTAAAATAGGGTTTCTTCTTATTTGTTTTAGATGTACAAATTACAATTTTGCGTATGTATGAGCTCAGGAGGGTCATGTGTATAAAAGTACAGCTGTCAGCCGAGGCAAGAGACATAGTCTCCCCCTGGAACCGGAGCTATACGTGGTTTGAGCCAGCAGATGTAAGTACTGGGACCCACGCTCAGTCCTCTGTCAGAGTGTGTGCACTCTTAACCTTTGAATTGTCTCGCTAATCACACAGGCTGTCTTCATCTGCTTGAGAATTTAAATTTAAAATTTAATGTCCAGTAACGGCCTACCTTGATCGCCCTGTTATTGGTACTAGGAGCTATGCTAACCCTGACTATAGGCTGTAGAATATGAATATGTAAGAAATGAGACTTTTCTTTTTGAAAGAGAGAAAAATCATAGACTGCGTCAGAAAGATTTAAACCTGATACGTAATATGACTGTCTAGATCAATGCTGAAGTACATTGAGGTAATTAGTGAAAGTACTAGACCAGCTCCGAGTCGCAGTCCAGTAAAATGGGTAAGGAAAGAGGAAGGCACTTAGAATAGGAAACGTGTAAGTGATGCCAATGCAGATGGAAATACGAAATTCGACAAAATGTGCACTTGCCTGCCTTAATGATTTTCTTAGTCTCCGTAGCTGCTGTCTTCCTCAGATTTCAGCTATTTGGCTTCTACTTCTTTATCTCACTGATGTTCCTTGTCTGTGAACTTTTCACGCAGCAGCGATACAAATTTCTTCTCCTTCGAACCTGCTGTTTTAGGAAATCCACAGTTAAGTGTAGTCACGTTAAAGTTCTTACTTACTAAAAAGCCAAAGTTCATTTATGGCGAAAACACAGAAGCAAATGCCGGTGATACCCAGAGGAAAGTGATTTTAGCTATCAAATGTTTCTATGTGTAGAATTATCTCTCCTTAAAAATGCATTTGGCTATTGGGTCTGACATAAGATTTAGAGCATTTCATTAGGGTAGGTTCCCTTGCGATGACTCTGTGGACACCAATCTACTTTCTATGTCGACTGGTAAAGAGACAGACTTTACTGACAGTAGGTGACACTGAAGTATTTTCTGGGTTTAGAGTCAATGTCATGAAAAATGCATTTGCTTGAGATGTGTTGACAAAACCAGATTTCTGAGGTGGAAAACCAGACCCAAAGTCAGCACAAATCCATCATGGTAATAAATTTCCCCGTGGGACAGCAGTTGCAAGGCATTGGATTTTACCTAACCCAGTGAGAGCTTGGTTCCACGCAAAATTCTAGGAATACCCCTAGCTTGTTACCAAACACTCCGTTGAAGGACATCCTAGAAAACCGCATATATTCGCCTTGTTTTAACATAATTAAATGAAAAAGAGAAATACACAGTGTTTCAGTTTTTCAGTGAAGAAGAAAAATCTCCAAAGAGAAGTAAAATGAGTAATCATGATCTTTTTGTAAACACAATTGGATTTTGCAGTTCATTTTCATGAATAATGGTTAGCTCTGAATTCTATGAAGTCAGTTGTATATACGGGTTTATGAGTTTTGAGCATCTTTGAAATACAATCAACTATTTGAGAGCTTTATGTGGCTTCGGAAAAAAACTCACGGCAAAGCGATGTGATGGGTGACTTATGGACTGTTAATACCACACACAAATATGTCGTTTTACTTCTCTGTTGTCTGAGTAAAACTGGGCAGCCCTGACAAGCTTGTCTAGGCCACACCAATGCATATTCACTGCAATCTGACTGTGGCAGAAGCCGTCTCTATTCAGTGAACAGATATCTAAAATTGTTCATATTTCTTCATTTCTGTTTTAAAAATAAAAGTTGTTAAATTTCTGTAGAAATAATCCTTAGGCATTTATCTTCTCCTCAAGATCTTCTGTATGATGCCTTCGTGGTAAGAAATTTCTTTTGAGTGAAACCTTTTGGACGATTTAAAAACAAAATCACGAGCATTAATACTTTATAGGTGTTGATAAGTACTGCAAGTAACAATTTGTATGATGTTATTGTGTTTTATTATTGATAAAGGGCTGAGTATTGGTACATGATATTCATGTATTATTATTGATATTAGTACATATGTTTAAATTAAGTACAATATAATAATCTTATAAAAACATGTTTATAATATCAATAGAAAGAAAAATTACTTTGCTTTTACTAAATAAGTAATCATATTCAGCACTTCGGTGTTAGCTGATTATGCAATTTGTATTGAGCATAAACTTATGAATAAAAAAGGTATTTTATTTTAATTACACAGGTAAACTTAAAATCTCAACTACATATCAGGTCATGCATCTCTATAAACTTTTTAAAAATTGGAAAACATTTTGTGGCTTGACTCAAAAAAAAGAGAGAGAGAGAAAGAAAGAGGAAACAGAAGGTAATCTGAGATCCTAAATTCTTTGTTTATTTTAATTTTTAAAATGCATTAGAGGGGAGGGAGGACATTTAGTAAGGGTTTTGTCTTCAAATACTTTCCTTTGCAAACTGTCAAAAAACCTTGACATTCTAATAAGTGATTAACTGCTTGTTAAGAGACTGAAAACAATATCTTAGATTTGTGTCCCCAAACATACACATTTCTGATGTAGACTTTTAAAGTGTCAATACTAAAGAGACAGTGCCATTGACTTGTACCTGGCACTAGTCCCTCTAGCTAATTTTCTTTCCTGTAGAGTGGTTGTGGGCGACAGAGTGGCGTCCCCGTTTCCCAGGTTGTTGCCCTGACAAACTGCAGTGGAGGGAAAGTCAAGGAGCCTGACAAAATCCCATTCATCATTTTAAATTAAAGCCAACCACCCTGTCCTGCCCAACCAAGAAGAAAGAACCTCCCCCCGAAACCTTAACAAACAAAAATTTCCTCGGAATAGATTTGGTATATCTCTCTTGTTGGCCTTTAATTAAATTAGACAAAAATAAAATAAAACCGTCTACTTTTCTACACTTGAAAACAAAACATTTGTCTGAAACACCATTGAGCTGAACAGCTTACTGTTTTAAAAAGCATCACGAACTTTGAATAAAAATACTTGAAAACATTGAGGGTAGACTGTTCCAGTAAGTTAGAAATAGTGTTTAACTTTATTTTCTTAATAGCTCAGTGAATTCATTTTATTTTTACCCAAAATATGTTATCCTTAAACATTTTAAAAAAAGATAAGAAAAAATCCTCATTGGTATGTTTTTTCCCATCTATTTTTCCCTTCATAATGTTTGCTTTGTTTCAAATGATAGTTGTAATGTGTGTGTACATGTATGCACATACTTGTATCTTTTCATATCTTTAAATACCTATCGTAAGCAGTTTCACATGTTATTAATTAACATCATGAGAATGTATTTGGGTCCACCCAATTAGGACCTTGCAGAATGTCTGATGCCTATGTAAATATCTGTTAGAACTGACTCAAGATTATAACATTCCAGAGGCTCCCATTTTTTTCTCTTTTCTTTAAAAACAATGAATGAGTTCAGTGTGTACTTACTTTTCTGTGTTTGACAATATTTTCTGAGGAA